ACCACACAGGTGGAGGACCTGCGCGAACGCAGCATGGATTCGGAGGAACTCAGGATCCGGGGCTTCGATCCCGGGCAGTGCCCGAAACTCGACGTCGGCGGAGCCTTGGCCATTGCTGAAGAGATGGCCTTGCGCGAGCATTCGCGTGGTGTACTTGTTCGGCACATCCGGGAACTTGCGTGGCAAGGGTCTCAGTCGGTGTCGGTGAATATTGCAGGTGAGGAGGACTGACGGCGTCTTTGTCGAAATAGAATTGGAACCTGCCAAAGAGGTGATGATTGTGTGTCGACATGTAAACGCCGTTTGCAGGCGTGGTGATCTTTGATCCTGCTAGCCTGTCAATGCCGATGGATGTACATGATCGTAGCATATCCCAAGTCTTCGCGGTTTCGTACTGATGATATGCAGTTTAACAGACGGCGGAAGAGGACACGAAGGATCACGATGTCACGCACAACTTCATGGCTGTTGTCATCGCGAAAGTCATCAAGCACAAATGGGATGATGTGCGCCGCAGCCATGTACTGAAATGACGACCCGGGGGGTATGTCCTGGCTGCGCATGAGCTCAAAACCTCGCGCGGAGTCGAAGGCGCGTGTTATCGCACAACGGTGTTGTTCACGTTGTTGGAGCTAATTGAAGATTGAAATATTGAAGAGTCAGTACTTGACAGGTAGACGGTCGATGCGCAGCTACACACGTTTTCTTTGAACGTTTTCAGGTCAGATCGAGTGCTGGACTCGGTCTGTTCTTCCGTGTGGTGTAGAGTTGGTGTCTGGCTACTGCTGGGTTGAACGTGGGCGTCCTTGATACCGAGTGCCATCACTATGGGATTGTGGTGTACTTGGCGACGCTAAGCAGAGCTTACATTACACTACGACTCACTTCGAAGGAAGAGTGACTGCAACCAAGTTCTTGCTAGGTTAACGACGGCTTCTTCCCCTTTCTGATGAGCGATATGAAGGGCAATGGCGACATAGCGTTTTCCGGCAGCGGTGGGAGCATGCTGCAACATCCCTTTGAGGAGTTTGTCGAGGCGAATGACTCAACGAGTCTGTCGGGACTGGCCGAGACGAGCGCCTCGTGATGGCACCCATTTTGACCTATCAGTTTGACCAGTTCACTGGAGAGAACGTCGGTGTTGATGTGCTCATCGTTGTATACTTCGTCCCAGTCTGCAGACGTACAGGTCAAAATGGTGCATGTTGACCGGATAGATGACGACCGGGCGTGAGATGTAGGCATCGCGCTGGCAGTGTCTGTAGCTCGTCGATGTTCAACGTTCAACGTTCAATGGGGGCGGGGGGAAACAAGAAAGAGACGAACGACGTGAAGCTCTGGGGACAACAGTTTGCTTGTAACTTACATAGTATGTACTGTATTTGCGGGCGAACGAAGCAAGCATAGTATTTCTACGCTCGTACCCAGCCGTTCTGGCGTAAAGAGATTCAAAGTCCGTCGTGGCACTTTTCGCACTCCGGTTACCTTTCTTGGCTAAAAAAGTTACCAAACAGAGGAGTGTCCAAGAAAGAACAAGCGTCTCATCGACTGGCTTGCGAGTCTACGATGAGTGGATTGATCCAGTGGTTACAAGTCCCAGCAGTCATTCCAGTGATTGAATATACTTAATATTGACTAGTGAATTACAAGTGGCTGGGCACCGTTGATACAGTAATACTCGGGCGGTGTATATCATCCTATATAATCCTACATAATCCCACCCGGTCGGTTTTGCCCCCCTACGACCATCCCCCTCTCCGTACTTGTATCCTCAGAGCCCCGTCTGCACTGTACTCCTAGCATCACTTCACGCCTCACCATGCGCGCCTTCAACATCATCGACCCGACGCTCGGCGGCGAGGCCGCTTCCACAAAGACTACTGAGCTCGGGGTCTAACAGATGGATGAGTTTGCATGACGAAGATGGAAGAGCGGCATCGCATCTCGCCCTTCTCTTATCTTGAACTGAGAATTGTGTTTCGCGTCTGATGCGCTGCCGCGAGCCGTGCTAAGTCGGGAATGTCCCGGAATCGCTTGATTAAGTATATACGTCATAGGTTCATGGGATGCACACGGCCCCCGCAATGTCCTTCGGAATGTGGACGAGAAGTTGCGAACATCGTACGGACTTATCGCAGGCCCGCTCCGATGTCTACAATGGCCGCATCGGTTATTATTTGCGAGCCCCCGGAAGTCATTAGCGTGCACGCACCCTACACAGGGCTACGTATTACGTCCATTGCATTTGCCGTAGTAAGTAATGTATTAGTTCAAACAGGACTAGCCGGACGCACACGATGCAATCTGGAGGCGCCGGCCTGATCTCGATATGGACAATTCCCCGCTTCGGCGATCCTCTCCTGCAGGGGAATCAGATCAGGGACTGGTCATAAACTTGGAAGCCCCTCGGCGCTTCCACCGCAAGACACCAGCTTGTGTCCCCGAAGGAATGCACGAACTGAACAGGGCTTCGAAGAATCCAGGACACTTTGCCCAGCGGCGGTGGCCTCCCGATTTGGCGAGTGTTCCGGATGGAAAGCTGATCGTAGAGGGTGCAAGGGGTCTCTGCCCTTTTAGCAGCGCTAGCGCAATCACGAGCCCCGGACGCAACTGTTGTGTACCAGCCACAAGGCAGCTAATGATCCAGGCCAACACAATAGTACGCGGGCGCAGCGGTCTGCAGTATATAATCCCGCCCAGTCGGCCTTGCCCTCCTCACTCGCCTTGCGACATCCCCGCTCTCCGTCCTTGTATTCTAGCCCCGTCTGCACTGTACTCCTAACATCGCTTCACGCTGCACCATGCGCGCCTTCAACATCATCGAGCACCCGACGCTCGGCGGCGAGGCCGCCTCGCGCAAAGACTACTTCGCCGTCTTCGGCATCGCGAGTGCAGCAGCGACCATCGCCGCTGCGACCACCGTCGTCGCCCTCCGTGCGACCGGCACGCCCATCGCGGCCGTCATCGATGCGTACGTCCGTACATGTTCTCCCCTCCCCTCGAGCCTGACTCATGTCGCGCTAGCTTTGTCCAAAGCCACTAGGCAGCCTGTGCACCCTGCTGGGCAACTACACGCAGCACTGAGTGGTGAGTGGGCTGTGATTTGCTGCATCCCGCGCACAGGCTTATGGTCCGGGTCGCAGCTGAGTACCACACCGAACGTGTCGGACCGCCCGAACGCCCCTGTGTATGTTCTCCGCGCCCGAGCGGACTGACTCCAGGCGCAGCGCCCGCACTCCCCATCCACCGCCCCTGTTCCCCCTCATCGCCTTGACTTCGACGTTCCGCCGCCACTCAGACACGACATACCGTTACGCTCTCGCCACCGTCCGCCTCCCGCCACCAGCTGTATCAATGGGGTTATTTATAGCATCGACCTGGAAACAAGTGTAGGACTGCCTGGATTGTACTGTACAGATACTGTGTACCACGAGGAATAGCGATCAAATCACACACCCGTCATGATGTTGCTGTCTCTTCAATCACGAGAGGCAGCACGCCGCGAGAAGCAGCAATCATGCACCGTCTGCTGAGAATGAACCGCCGAGGATTGTATTGAACATCGGTCCGTCAAGTTCAAGTACGAGCACGCGCCTGACCTGGGCGGAGGCACCGGCACTGGCAGCGCTCGTCGCGTATTCATTCGAGCGCGAGTGCTGCGTCCCAACTTCCACCCCAAGTTCCGAACCCGAGAGGTTCTGACCTGTTACTCCATAGCATTCTCTGGGATGCCTATCAGGAAGCCGAACCCTGCTGATGTGACTGAGCCACCGGTCTGTCGTATGGCCGTCCGCACGAGCGGTCTCCCAATCGCGCATGCCACCGGATTGCCACAACGTCCGAATCGTGATCGCAAGCGGCTATCTGCCGGTACGCAACGCGTTTGGTCGATACTTACGATATCGCCTGTAGAGTCATACATCGCTGTGGCCGGCGGCGTCGCGCATTCACAGCTCGGCTTTCACGAGCGCACCTGTCAAGCATGTCACATGTCAAGTGTCAGAAGACTGGACGTACTGGACACAGTGCGACGGGGGTGCCGCGGCGTGGTTCGCAGTCCTACATACGAGGCATCCTTTTCAGGGCAATCCCCGAGGTGTCGAATAAGCTCGTCGGGCACGGGGAGTCGAAGGACGCGTCAGGAGTTGTGCACCCGTGATCTACTTACACACGTAGAGCTTCCTATCGAGCCTGCAGTCGAGACTGCTTAGCACGTCACTGGTTTGCTTGTGGCGATTAATTGAATGTGGACTTGATCATCATGCATTCGAGAATGTATGAATCGCAGACAGTGCTATCGGGGGTGGGCAGACCCCCGCAGACAGCTTTGCCTTCCCCCGAATGGGCAGATTCAGAAGTCTTCCAACCTATACACATCGTACGCGACTTCCTCATACGGATGTACCTGTTCCAGGATGACCGTCGTCAGCTCAACAACCATGCGCAGTTATAGAGTCCGCACGCACCTTCTTGAGCTCCTCCAGCACACACCGCAGCTCAACGCGCTGCCCCTCCCGCAGACCTGCATCTGACAGATCCGCCTCGGAGTCGGCTTGCACGACCACCTCGACGCGGTCCTCCTCCACCCGCTCCGGCCTGCCTACCTCCCCGATCGCCGGGTTCGCGCCGTCGAGCGGTGTGAATTGCCCTGATAGGAGAGAAGCCACGGCGGGGGTTCGTCGTCCGTTTTCGTATAGTGGTTATCGGTCAAGCATCGAACAGGTCATTCAGCGTCCTTCGAGAACTGCTGCGGCTACCGACCGGTGCCCCGACTGACGAATGCGCACCCGCCGTACGCGCCGATCCGCCCGACGTTCCGCGGGAATCGTTCAAAGAGGCGTCCGAGGACGTGCTGTGTAGACGCTACGGGCACGAAGAAGACAAGTTTGAAGCGGGGCATGGTTCGAGTCAAGTGAAGTCAAGTTGCCCGCGATCATTGCAGTGAAGAGTTCTCGGAGCGAGAACAGGCTGATGTGTCCTCATAAACAAATAGCAATATCGGTGCTATAGTGTAGTGGTTATCACTCGGGATTTTGATGTCAATGTGCCAGGGCTCGAACCAGGCAGATAAATTTCCCGGAACCCAGGTTCGAGCCCTGGTAGCACCTTAGGCTAAGGTTGTCTTCCTCTTTTGCCTCAAGCTCCAGGCTTTGCTGTCGTTGCTGCATCAGTACACTGCAATGATGCTGCAATATTTTCCGAGTCATCGACGCAGCATTGAATGTGGAGGGATGGGGGAGACCGAGTCAACATGTCCTCAATATTACTTCTTGTGCTACACATCCCCTGACGTTCAGCGCGCGTCGAACGCGGGAGGTTTGGCCAAAATGGCCCAACACCTCGTACACGCGCGCTGAGGCTGGATGAGCGCAAACTTGTGTGGAAGCGCAGGTCACGGCGAGCGCAACCTACTCACAAAGACAGAAAGTAACGACAAGGTTTGACAAACGCACATACCAGAGAGCAAACCGGCATCCGTGCATCAGCTCAGGAAAGGGAACAAGCCGCAGAGAGCACGAAGGAGGTGCATGATCAGCCGATGTGACTGCGATGCGATCACTTATTAGCGACCACATCCATGTTCCCCATCTTAGACTACCAAATAGCTTAGCGCATTCTACTATGGTGCGGGACACTAAGTCGCCGCTACCTTGAGACAGTGGCCAAATCGGCCGGTCAGTGGTCCGAGCATTAGGCGCGCATGTATGGAAAGCGCCGCAGGCGCTCCCCGCTCCACCTTTTTTGGCATGGCGGCGCTGCGGCGGCGGGTTGCACAGTCAATACGAACATCCAAATATATTTCAAATATTGTATCCTACACCTGCCATGCCCTCGCGGCACCAGAAAGATGCGGCTGCGCGTGCTCGGGCTGGCAGAGCACAGAAGAGAGCTTCCAGCACAAATCCTAGTACGGCCACAGCAGCACGACACTCTGCTCAACTTGAATCTCGACTCACCATCGACCTCACACACTCTGATGAGTCCGACAACGAACCTGGGGGTGGCGAGGAAGCCAATCAGGATCCATACATGCTGGAACATGATGCTCTCAGTGACCACGAGTGTCTGTGGCAGGGTGGTGTCAATCATAACCCGATGGACGAGTGGGAGGTGGCGAGCAATAGCTCGGACTCAGAGTCAACGGATGCAAGCTCCGACTCGGAAGTGGAGGAACTGGAAGGCGAAGAACTTGTCAAGAGTTTGCAAAAGGAGATGGAGAAGGAAGACTCACTTGTCGTCACTGCCAGTCAACTGCCAGCGCAGATGCAGACGCAGACAGCATACGAGCTCCTGGACCCACATCAATTCAAAGCAAAGGACTGGAAAAAGGCGGAGAGCAATCGCCACCTTGGTTATAATGGCAGGGCGGGTCGGACGCAGCGTCGGAAGCATCAGGATGCTCGCAAGAAGGCCGAGAGTGATGCTAAGCTCCGAAAAACGTCAGTATTCTTCAATGAATTTCCTCGTAATGCATGAGTATCGAGATATACTAACTTTTGCACTCGAAATGATAGCAAGGGCGCAGACTTGATGCGAGCATTTGTCACAAAACGTGTTCCGCATGAGGCGTCGAGTGCACACACGGCAGGCCAGAGCGATCTGAGCGAGGGATCACGAGGAGCTCCCGAAACTGTCCATAGCTCACCTGAGGCTGAGGAGGATGAAATCTTCACGGGGTATGCATCCGATGTTCCATCGGATAGCGAGTCGGGTGTCGAGATCACTGGCAGTGGTGGGGAAGACTCGGATGAGGATGGGGCCCAGTCGGAGAAAGTCCTGGATGGTGAGTTATTGTACCATAGTTCAATAGTGTACTTTATGCTCAGCTGATGAATGTCTCGTAGCCCATGCTGCATCTGACTCATCCACATCTGGCTTGCAAGTCTCCGAGGGATCCTTCCGAATTCGACTGCCTCCCCCACTAAAACGTCAGCGGCTTGAGGTCCCTGCTCGTCGGACTCAGCAACTGGCATTGGAAGCGAAGAAGAACAGTCTTCACAAAGCTCTCACCGATATCGAGAAGCTGATCCGGTCCAAACGCGATGTCTTCGAAGTCAGCTCAAGCGGACTGCAGGCGTACCGAGCACGGGCGATCCAAAGTTGCTTGCAGATGGTGGTCCATAACAAACGGAAGCTTATCGATGCGTCCGAGCGGGCCGCCGAGAGTCAAGGCTTCGCAGCGAAATGGGGTGGTCGTTTGGTACGGCGCTGGGTACAAGGCTGGTGGAAAACGAGACAATTGCCAGTGTCGAAGAGGGGCCGACATGTCAAGGTCTACACCCTCCTCGGCGACCCTTCGATCTGTGCCGAGATGCGCTCCTATGTTCGGTCGAACAAGTGGGCCATGGATCCTGCGAAGCTGGCTGAGTTCAGTCAACAGACGATGGTCCCTGCAGCGGCGGAGGCATATGCAAAGCAGATTGTCAAGCAGGAGATACCGCAAGGTCTCAAACGTTACCTCGAGCTTGAGCTCTTCCCTCGTATCCACTTCAAACCCGGCCGTGGCATCTCACTCCGTACCGCACGCCGGTGGCTTCATCGGGAAGGATTCCGCTTCATGGAGCATAAAAAAGCAGTGTATTTCGATGGCCATGAGCGACCCGATGTCGTGCACTATCGTCAGACAATCTTCTTGCCATCGATGGAAGAGTACCGCAGGCGGTTGGTCCAGTACGTGGTTGGTGATGTTGAGAAAGAGTTATCGAAGACAGCAAATTATGTCGAACGCCGACTGGTCCTCTGTGCACATGACGAGACGACAGCGCAAGCAAATGACGATCAAAAGAAGAGCTGGGTATTGGAGGGCGAGCAGCCTCTGAAGAAGAAGGGCCAAGGTCGTGGAATGCATCAGAGCGAAGTCATATGCTCGACAGTTGGGTGGCTTACGGATGCGGGTCAATCTATGGAATATGGCAAGAATTATGAGGGCTATTGGACGGGTGAGCTCTTTGTGAAGCAGGTACGTCCAGATCATACCCTCATTGTTCACATTCTCACGTAGGATGCATACACTGGCATAGCTCAAAGAGAAGATTATCCCAGTGTTTGAACGTGTGCATGGGCCGGGATATCAGGCCTTGATCATGGTGGATAACTCTCAGGGGCACTCTGCATATGCAGAGGATGCTCTTCTCGTCTCGAGGATGAATCTCAAGCCAGGCGGGAAACAGGCACGTCTGCGTGATGGTTGGTTCATGCGGGATGGCCAGCGAGTCCCGCAACAGATGAATTTCCCTGCCAATCATCGAGACAATCCGGGCCTTCAAAAGGGAATACGGCAGGTTCTTCTCGAACGTGGCCTATGGTCAAACAATCTCAGGCTTGATTGCTCGAAGGACGCGATCACCGATCAATGTTGCGCACGGCACTTAATGGCATCGCAGCCTGACTTCCAAGAGCAGCGCTCACTTGTTCAGGAGGTAATCGAGGATGCTGGTCATTTGTGCATCTTCTTACCAAAGTTCCATTGTGAGCTCAACTTCATTGAGTTCTTCTGGGGCGCGGTCAAACGCTATCTTCGGGAGAACTGCGATTATACGTTCAACACTCTCAAGGAGAACCTACCGAAGGCAATGGCTTCTGTCGACATCAAGACTATCCGACGATGGGAACACCGAACTGTACGTTGGACCGAAGCATACCGATCAGGGCTGGGGGTGAAGGAGGCACAGTTCGAGGTCAAACGGTTCAGCTCGAAGCGGTACACCTCCCATAGGCGAGTGCCCGAGACACTTGCGCGCCAGTTTGACAAATAGTTCCGTTTATGGTAGTCATTACATAATACTTTCCGTATTGGGTATGCTGCACGTGACCTGGCCAAATTCGGCTCATGCAACTTCGCCAGTTTTGAGAGTTGGGGAAATCCGTCTAGTAGTTTTGTTCCTAATATGAATTGGAGTGTTTCTACAAGAGGAATAAGGAATCGAGTCAACTCCGATGGTTCCCGAGATCTTGTTTTGAAGTAGCGGTGACTTAGTGTCCCGCACCATATGCACGACCACAGCCCGCAGGAATGAAGCATGTCAATGGGGACTTCTCGAACTGTTCATGCCACGCTTGGGCTCTGAAGAAGGGTACCTTGCACAGGAATGGCGAGTGCCCCACGGAATCATCGCTGCGTGTGCACGCTGAGGGTTACCAATAGCAAGCAGTGCGAGTGACATAAATCACAACTGACGACGAGTTGCCCTCGCTATGTGACAACAACGGCATCGAACCGCCATTTCAGTTCACGCAATGAGATCGAACAAGAAAATTATATATCATAACCAGCTACAGACCATAGTGCCCCGGGCCACGACGTCCGGCAACACCAACCAATGAAGCGCGAAACGCACCAAAATAGCTAGAACTCCATGTTCGCACCGATTTCTGAGCTAGTGTCTGGCACACCGAAAGTGAATGTCCACGGACCAGTTGACTGCAGAGTTGATACACAAGTGAGCCCTGACGAAACTTGCTGGAGGACAGCCACTGACCTCATCAGTCATCGTGACATCTGTTTGCTCTGGTACGAAACCAGAGTCCAAGGCCTCTTGCGAGAACGGGGAGTAGAACGGCGGGATAGTGTCCCATTGCGCCGACTCGGGCGTCACAGGCATCGGTGCATGCCCGGTCGTAACAAAACCGAGTCGATAGCATTCCAGACGGAGTTCCTACGACACCCTGATTGTAAGGGTCGAGTCAAAATCGTCGTGAATCGGATGCGTACCTCAAAGCTCGTTGCAACGAGCTGCGGCATACATGTTATGCTCTCGAACACTTCCACACGCTTCACCATCGATGAACCAGACTTAGCACTTGGGGAACCTGGACCCGACCGTCGGCCCTGACGGGGAGACGCCCCCGGACGACGAGGGCGGCCATATACACGATTTGGCGACGCGGGTGCACTGGCTGTCGGCGCAGGAGGCGGGCTCTCCGGCTCAACGCGCTGCGCCGGCATGTCCTCCATCGTCTGCTCGGGCGAAGGCGTAAACGTGGACCTACGCAATCCGATCTTCGGGCGCGCTTGCACCAGTGTTTGCCTCGATGGTATCTTGATCGACAGACGTTCGTTGTGCACTCCGTCGGGTGTGGCGTAGCCGGAGAACAACGCCTCAGCGGGCGGGTCGTTGACGGGCAGCATAGAGTGGGAGTAGTAAGTGGCGAACATGGCTGGGGAGGCTCTACGTTACAGGTCTGCGGCAGTCTTTAGATAGCGGGTCGACAGTAGAGAGGGGCTAAAGCGTAGCCTTATACGCTTGGGCCCACACAATGTAACGCTCACGTGCCCTGTGCCACTGACGAGTCTTGTCTTCGCCGCTCGGACCTCAGCTATGCAACAATCAGCCACAAAGCCATGCAGTCCACACAAAGAACAGTCACCTCTTATCGCATCTTGGTTGCGACCCAGAACTCCGCCTGGTACAGCCATCGCATCATTGCCTCGCGGTCTGCTGTGTATTCGCACTCGATCGTGCGGCTGCGTCGTGGGCCGTCCGCGTCCGAGGCTACGTCGAAGCCTATCGTGTTTGCGAGTCTCAGCACCTCCTCCAGGCTCAGCTCCAGTGCGGCTTGCCCTCCACCAGTCCAGAGGAGCGGTCCGAGGTTGATCCACGTCCCGCCTGGCTTGAGTAGCCGATGGATGTGCTCTAGCGTCTCGATGATGTTCAGCGAGGTGTCAATGAAGAACAGCGTGACAACGAAGTCGTAGCCAGGTGAGCTACCGATGGGTGGCGCTGCAGGCCGATCGAGGCGGAGGAAGTCGCATTCCGCGAGCTCTAGGTTCTTGGACAGTCGCGGTAGAGCATCTGGGAACGCAACATCTCGGAAGAGCGTGTCGACACTGCGTTGATGTGAGAACCAACTGGCGTATGGCTGTAGGGTGTGTTGGTTCACGTGCTGAGTGGTTGTCTCAGAGAGCAGGAAGCGGAACGCGAGGTTCATGAAGAATGAAAGCTCATTCGCGGTGACAACGTAGCCTGCGCATGAATTCATCTATCAGCACTCTGATACATGCATCACAACAGCCACTTTCGTAGACACCGTAACAAGTATCGGGATATTCGGCTGCAACTCACCCATCTGCGATATCTCCCAAGCAAGTCTACCCAGCCCCGACCCAGGAACTAGCACTCTCATTTCCTGACGAGCTGCAGATTTGGCTTCCTGTAAAACGTCCAGAATTGGTCCGAATATCCTCGCTCGCTCGCCCCGGCCTTCTTCGCTCCAATCGCGTACGAAATGCTTCAGCGACTCTCGTATTCGAGAGATGTCGCCATGCGCATCATGACCTTGCCAGTCCACGCGCGACAGTCTGTCCGAGAACTGTTCCTTCGCAAGCTGCGCAATGCTTTCCGTGACCCTAGTATTCACCGTTATGGCCTCTTGCAGTCGGTTGAGCTTGGCGGGGTATCCTAGGTCGTATCCTATGTGTTTGTGCGCGCGTCCTATCTTGGCATACGACGCTCGCATCGTTGCAAGTTCACCGCGCGACAGCTTTCCATGATGTTGGTAGGATAGCGCAGCCCGTTCGACGGAGAAGTGCCCGAATGTCGTTCGTCGACGCCCGGTGACGATTTCTGTGACATTCCGGCGTAAATCCGAGAATGATGAGAACCCAGTGAAGCACAGACTGGATAAGAACAGCAGAGCAGGGATAAGACAAGCAAGAAATGCGTCGGAGGAAAGAGCGTGGATGATGTGGTCGAGCATGAACCAGTGTCAAGCGCCCGGTCGTGTCCACTGCCCGCTCTTGTCCGCTGCCACCACCGACTTACTCTGAGACTCTGCTTCATAGCGTTCTCAATTCATTCCAAATATTGCAGTTACTCAAGGAAACGTCTCAGCGGAGAACTCACGATGAATTTGACATTATACACCGTCTCTGCCTTCATCATCATGGACACGGACGGACACCGCGTCCTCGCAAAGTACTACCACCCAAAGAACCACCCGCAGGGCGAGTCACAAAAGCTCCGTACGTTGAAGGAGCAGCGAGCATTTGAGAAGGGGCTCTGGCAGAAAACGAAGAAGGCGGGAGGTATGTCGTTAGATCTCGATGTCCGTAAGATGCCCTGCTGACTGCGCTGCGCGTAGGCGACATCATCCTCTACGACTCACATCTCGCAGTGTACAAGCACTCGCTCGACCTCATCTTCTACCTCATCAGCGACCCCGCCGAGAACGAGCTTATGCTCCACTCGGCACTGGTCGCGTTCTCGGACGCGGTGTACATGCTCCTGCGGAACCAGGTCGAGAAGCGGGGAGTGCTGGAGAACCTCGACCTTGTCCTGCTCTGTCTAGACGAGACGATTGACGACGGGTGCGTCCTGCTTCGCCCTAGTTTCTCGTTCGACGCAATGACGTGCGTCGCGTCCCAGCGTCATTGTCGAGACCGACTCCGCCGCCATCGCGTCGCGCGTAAGCCGGCCAAAGGCGGACAGCACGGACATCGTGATCAACGAGCAGACGATCATGAACGCGTACATGACGGTGAAGGAGAAGATGCAGCAGAGGATAGCGACGCTGTAATGTCTGACGGACTAGGGATATTTATACTCATTCGACTCGACTATCCAGCTGCCACCTTGGCTGCTGATGATGCAAGCCTCTCGCGAGGATACACTAGAAAGCGACCTTCAACTACACGAAGCGATTGGCGCGAACCTCCGCAGATCGGCAGGTAACTAACGACCTGTGATATTCCAGATAGACCTGCTTGTCATGCACACAGAGTGGTAGGTTCATCCCAAGTTGTGACATTCGATGTGCGTTGACCTTCGGTATACTGGTAGGCACCACGCAACGTTGCTGCAGGTTTGACTTCGGAAAACCGGCCTGTTCTCAGGGCATCAGGCTTTTGAGTCGGATTGCATCTCTGCGCCGTACTAGCCCAGAAGCGCCTTATGCATGTCGCGCGGAAGTGGCTGCCAAGTGTAGCCACTGCGTTCGTGCAGCATCTCGATAAATTCGTCTGCTGAGCTCTCGTCAGCCACGAAACATTCGAACGTAGATGCAAGTAACATCGGAGTCACCACGACTGGCCCATATTTCTGGCGAGAGCATACGGTGGTGAGTCACAAGCACAAGGCGACGAACCTTCGCACACGCTCGAGTGAGGATCCTTAGCCTGCCAGCCTACTACGCATTCCGCCAGCAAAGTCCTCCCCTTACCATATACTCTCTCTGTTTGACATGCCCCACGGAACTCTTTACATCCGACCGTCTGAGGCATCGAGGCATGCGTCGAAGTCATTCGGCGGTGTGCACACGCGCGCACGTTTGAGGGGGATCGCCCCTAGTGCGCATGGCCCGGCCATGTCAAAAGTCAGAACGACTGTCAACGACAGAAGCGTACGCGTCTCGTTTCCTACCTTCGTAGCAATATACCAGATCATACCGTGTATGTACCTCGTACCATGCGGCCCTAGAGTGATGCCGTGGGTGCGTGCCGTGGTGCCCATGCGGCGGGCAGCGCTGCTCGCCCACGATAGCGCTCTCAATCTTCCCGCAACGTGCGCGTGCAGCTCTGGTTCTAATGGCCTCGGATGCCTATATATACGCTCTTATGGCGGCCGAAGATGATGTGCATCGCTCCTCGACCACAGCTCCTGCGCGGACGTCGACATGCAGCGCGCCTTCGCGATCCTCAGCGCACTCGCTGCCGCTGCCGCGGTCCTCGCGTGTCCGGGCGAGGAACACGACCACCTCCACGAGCAGCGGAAGCGTGAGTATCCACAGGTGCCTCTGACACCTCCGACGCGGCCTTTGG